AAAAAAAAAAAAACAGATCATGACGTTTTTGGTCGACATAAAGAAATGTTGCAATAATTTACTGTGTACTCTAAAAACAAATTCTAAAATAAAAGATAAATAATGGAAGTCATATAAATAAGAAAATGTTTCTCAAACTCTTAAAGAGGAACTTTTATCCACATCTTTAAAATCATAACACACACACCTTTTAGAAATGTTTAGTAATGACAATCTACACACACATACTTCCAGATAATTGCCGGCTTTGTATTCTTTGCATACCTTGTTTCTCTTTTCTTCCCCAGTCTTCTCACAGTGGCCATGATTACTAAGTGCAGATTAATATATCTCCCTTTACTTCCTGGAACTCTGGCACATGTGACCATGTACATAATCTCAGGGAAAGGAAAATTCCTTTCCCTCACATCTGGTGAGATTACAGATGAGATTTCCCAGCAATGCTCTGCTGATGTAACCTTCCCAGGATGCAACGCTTGGGCACATTACATCACAAATGCCCAAGGACCAGGAAGTGGAAAAGCAATAATTGTAAAAGCAAAATATGTTTATTTAACTAATGAATGCAGAGCTGCTGCTGATGTAATTTTTACTGAAAGGGGGTAAAGGTCCACTTTAAGAGATTTCACTATCATATGAATTGTTTAGTACTGTGGAAGATTCATTATCTGCTATCTTTTGTATTTATTTGTCTAAAAATATGAGGAAAGTGTTATGTTTTCTTTGATCTGCTTTATACTAACCAAGATATGTTGTTTGTTTTTAGATTTAAGTTGTCTGTCACACATCTCATTACCCAGAAGTCTTCTGGAACTGTTGCAGTGCCCCCTAGGACACTGTCATCGCTGCAGTCAGTCAATGTTTACCATAGTCTATCCAAAGCTCTTTCCTCTGAGGGAGACCCCTATGGCAGGACTTCATCAAGGGTAAGTTCAGAGACAGGATCTTTTCTGTCATTTTAATGCTTTATTATATGTTGCTGAAATTGATAATAACACCTGGGGAAATGTGATATTTGGTTGGATCTTGTGTTTTTAGGCTCACCATATGCAGTTAGATCTCAGAAGTGGACAGATCTGTCCATCGTATAACAACTGCCATACATTTGAGCCCTCTATCCCATTTTATTTCTATATTAACTAACATATAGTAAAGAATTTTTATTTTCTTTGGGCAGAAGGAAGTATCCTTAAATGGTAGTAGAACTTTTTCAGAATGCCTTTATCTTTATCAAAAATTGAGCTGTCCTTATCATTGCTTATCATTGAAAGAGAAGGGTGGCTTGTAGAGTATCAACATCATTCAGGTAGTGGAAAGATCAACACTGGTGGGCCATGTGCGGTAACTCATAACTACTAGGGCTGCGGAAATTAACGATTAATCCTTCGATTAATCGTTAATTTTTTTGATCGATCAAAATTCTTTTGATTCATACTCACCTCTCCGCCGGCTTCCGGGTCTTCCGTCGATGTCTGCGACGTCACCGGACTCCTCCCCCCTTCCACAAGTGGCTCTGTCGGCTAACGAAGGGAAGGGGGGTGGAGTCCGGTGACGTCGATGTCCGTGACGTCACTGGACTCCTCCCCCTTTCCTTCGTTACCCGATTGAGTACACAGCCTAACTCTCCTGGCCGCCCGGGAGAGTGGTTTAATCTGCTCTCTCTTTTTACCGGAAAGGTTTAATCTGCTCAAATGAGCAGATTAAACCTTTCGCTGCGATCGTTTTTTTTTTTTCTTTTCTGACAGCGTGAGCCGCGGCCTGACCGTCAGTCAGAAAAGAAAAAAAAGGCATACGATTGCATAGCTAGATTCCTATTGGCTATTGCACTAATGCACCCGCCCACTGCTGCTGTCAATCAGCAGAGGGGGGACCTGATTTTTTTTCTATCAGGTCCTCTTCTGGTGATTGAAAGCAGTAGGGGGCGGGTGCAATAGCTAGTTTGCTATAGGCTATTGCAAAGTGAAATAGGCAATAGGAATCTAGCTATGCATTCTCTTATGCCTTTTTTTTTTTATTACTCCGACAACTGCAACTGGCAGAATACTAAAAAAAAAAAGTCTGCAGATAGCAAAGAAGCTATTGCTTCCTGTGCGATCTGCCATCATTTCAGGGGGGTGCTCTCTCCCAGCCCCCCCTAACCCCCCCTCCGCAGATGGGGGGGAGAGGGCACCTCCCTGGAACAGAGAGACACCTCCCTGAAATTGCTTATTTCAGGTTGGGATCCCTAGCATTGACCTATACACATACAGCACAGCAATTAATTAAGTAATAAAATGAACTAGGATCACACTAATCCAGCACGTTATTATTCTGAGTTGCCCCACTAAAGCGGCGGCCATATTGAGTGGGGCACGTGAGATTAATAACATGCTGGATTAGTATGATACTAGTTCATTTTATTACTTCATTGCTGTGCTGTATGTGTATAGGCCAATGTAGTTGGATCTGTATGTGCGTTATAAT